TTTGGGATCCGACAATCTGGCGTTCATTATATCCTAGAAATGTTGGTATGTGACAACCTGGAACGTACCTTTAACTTCGGAGACACCTCACGCATCACGTTGCAGATGGCATTGAGATCACCCTCAATAGTCATGATCCTGGTCAGTCAAAAAAAGATAAATCGCTGGATGTGAAGGGATTGTGGAAAACTAGAGCACAGTGAAATACAAGTCCTGGGAGCCCAGGTAAACCGTCCGTTAGACAACGTGAACAGATCACGTATTGCCAGTTTGTGGATTGGGCTTTCTAAGCCTCGAGTACGTGCTAATGTGAACAACCCTTGAAAGTGGGTCGCTTGGTACAGCTGCGACCAGCAGATGGACTAAACCGTCAGTATTGCATACTACCGAGTGGCCTTCGTCCATGAGTCAATTTTGTTTCCAGTACTAAACTAAGCATGCTGGTCATTAAAAATCTCAAGCGTAAGTGATATACAAGGGAATTGACAATAATCATCGACCAATTCAAGCACATCAGTGAAATTTACACCAAAATATATCTCATGATCTGATCCTACCGTTCAGGGCCTCTGCTGTCAGGTATATTCAGCTTGACGTTATACTGAGACAAGGCACGTGGCAAAGCAGGGCCGGTTTGAGATTCAGAGTTCAGCCAGGGACATCAAGTGGCGGTTTAGGTAGACCATTATCAACCCAACCATTTTGAGTGCGAGTGAAGTCGAGCGATTTCGAGTCAGTGTCCGGAACGATTGGTGGGGCCATAGAGAATACAAAACAGAGATGTGTCAGTTCAGGTCAGGGAAATTCATAGTGGACAAGATAAAATACAATGGACTGCAGCATACCTGAGAACGCATTTTCTTTATGTTTTCGCCACCCTTCCCAATCATTATGCCGGCAGCACGAGCCGGGATCAAAAACCGGATGATGACATTTGATAAGTCCACTTGAGGACGTTGAAACTTGGAAGGAGGACCATCTGGACCGTTACCAGCGCTATCTCGTTTCATGGCGAGCAGTCGACGGGCGGAGGACGAATTAGATTATGGCTGACGGAAAAGTGCAGCTCATTAAAACAATCAATCAGAATAAGTCTACAAACAGCACTTGAGAATCGAGCTTAATTGAGTCCGGGTTTTGCAGTGTTAACCGAAGATGTCCTAATGTGCTACAAAAGCTTGGTATCCTCCGTTATTTTTAACTTTCAACACAGCAATGTGTGCTCACCTGCACTTGGGGCGTGCTGACTCAGAGGTGGTCTACAACTTCCAAGGAACCACATTGCGCAGAATATCGTGCGAAAGAGAGCTGGGCGTTAGAATATGCCGATGACATCGCTTTGCAACACACAGGCAATCCAAGACGCTTTGAACCGCTTGGCGATCGAGGTATCGAAGTATGGTATGCGCTTTGCACCATCAAAGTGTAAAGTGCTGGTTCAAGACTGGCAGGAGCCCGTGACTGCATTTACTATTTCTGGTGACCAGATGAAAATAGTCGACAGCTTAATCGCAGCTGGTGGTGGTGTTGGGGACGAGATCACATCACGAATAGCGGAAGCCAGAGCAGCTTTCGCCAACCGACGACACCTGTGGCACCGCCATGTTGCTAAACTCAGCCATATAACTCCATATATCCAATTCCTCATTATGCTTACAGTGACTTTACAGTATGGAAGGCAGTGAGTGGATCAGTGGAACAACCATCATAAAGCGAGCAACTGCAAACGTTAGATAGAGAACCACTTAGATCAACCGTTATTAGGTGGGCATCGATTGAGCGAACTCGGACAGTTAGCGAAGATATCTGTGGGTTTGGCCGCCTTTCCCTAGTAAGCGATTTCTATACTCCAAAATGCGCGAACGTCCACAAGAGGATATTGTAATTTACACAAACGAGATTCGCGAACAAGCCCATTGCTTTTGCCGTTGTCCTATAAGCAGCACATGTGTGCATTGGATATTTGCACGGATTAAAAAGTTGAAAAGTACTGGTATAACGCTTTTTCACAAGTTCCGATTTTTCCATGAAAAACAAACCAGGACGGTGAATTGTTCTTACGTATGGGTCATGCAAGTAAAAAGTTATCTAGAGGTCAACAGTTACGAAGCCTAACACGATTCATGTAATTCAAATGGTTTGCAATCCAGCAGTTCTTTAACCTCTGTTTTGCTTGTAAACGTTTACAGCTTAGACGTGAATGCCAGGTAACCGCTCTGACCTGAAAGATAGATGGACATACGATAGTATTTGTAAATCCGAACAAAGCACGTCGGTTTCAAAAATCAACCTAGTCAACCATTTGCGTTTGCATGTAAGTAAGGAACGACTGTCCTTTTACTGAATTCATGGCTAAACGATTTTTATGGACGGAAGCGGCTAAGCAATGAACGGTCGTATGTAACAAAGTAACATAAAGGCCGCCGGCGCTGGGATTCGAACATACAACCTCCGCAGAGGATTCCTTACCCAGGTGCTTACTGCCAAACCAAATCCTCAGTTGGACATAGCCTGCGAAACGTCATCATAGAATTACCGTAATGACTCCTCGAATACGGCTTGTACCGAAATAAATCTCTAAACACACAAGTAGAGTACCGCCTAATTCACATCCAGGGTACGAAAATAAGCACGACCAGGCAGGAAAGATCCGTATGCAAATCCATGATGAGCAGCAAGAACCACCAGAGTAAACACTCAGACCACTATTATATCAGCATGCGGTCAAGTTTATGCTTTCTCATCACAGCAACCCCCTAATCGGGAAATGTTTCGCCGCTTACGGAGCAGAGGAAAGCTCGATAGCGCTGTACAATTGTTGTAATCTTGTCCATCAGTGATAGGTGTACACTGGCCCAACTGGTGATCGGACTCGAAACCTAGCTAATAACCCGACGTCCTACCCAATGGACCACCGAGGAGCTGATCAGAATGTTCTTAATTGTTTACACGCAATACATCACAACTCGAACTTTCAAGCTTGTTACGGGCATTTCAATGGGACCAAGCTCAAAGGAGAACATTTCGCTGAAACCGAAGTCCGAGAGTACTGTGGTGTTTTCGAACACCCCAGTTCCTGTTTTGTTTGAATGTGTAGTGTCCTGAACCCAATCTCGATAGTACTTCTTGCCTCAATCTTGTCGGACTGCACCCGGAAAAAAGCAGATGTACAAGAATTCGCTAATAGCACTACGTAAAGTCATGCAGGCTTCAAACGAATGTAGCGATGGCACCATCTTTCGCGAGACTGCAGTGAGCTGGGTGTGCTAGTACTAAAACAAGTGGCAGAGACCACCTTTGCGGCAGTCTTTCCGTTGAGCAAGAGGGGCAGTTACTTAAGGATCACATCATCAAGCATATGGAGGAATTGGCCCCACTAGCCACGTCCTGGTCTTGTAATGTAGGTTAATGACATTACTGAGGCCTCCAAGTGCCCGGATTTCATGTTTAAGGACGACCTAAAACAGATTCATCACCAAGGGCGATTTAGGTAGTCTCAGATGGAATACACCGCAGGGAGGACAAATGAGAGCTCATACTCCATGGCATTCTTTACAGATAACCGCTACCAAACAAGGCAGTAGAAGTTCAGCATCTAGGCGTCGGTTCAACGGACCGGAGCAAGACGGTGGAAGCAGCTTGAGACCCGGGTATGCAGACGCGCGCAACACTCTAGCTTTCAAGGGAAAGTTTTGCAATCACAGCGAAGACCAACAGGACGCTATTCAAACTAGACCCCGGAAGCAACATTATCCTCGCTTTTGAACGAAGAATTCGCACAACCGCTTCAGGAGTACCGCGAACAGCTGTGGATATTTTTCGAGAAAGACAATCACACGATGATTGGGATTTAGCACGGGACGTAGAACGATTGACGGCCTCCGAACCGTTTTCGCTAAATCGCCGATGAAAGAACGGGGACAATTTGGAAGTCTAAGGGAGCTGTCAGCGAACAACAAAGCACTGGTTATACTCAACCCTCGAGGTCACGAACAGGAACTGATAAACCCTACGGAGTCGCAGCAGGGCGGTTTTTTGCTGTATAGTGTACGAAAATGCAAACTTCCACCTGCGAGAACAGCGGCACACTCCGTCGTACAATTCTAACGAGAGCTAGACAACTGCAGGGGGAGATGTTCAAGCCGTAACCAACCGCGCGAGTGTCAAGCATATCAAATAACCTAGCCTCATGCTCACATTGTCATTCTCCGAACACCACCCAACCCAATGTCACCGGTCCTGAAGAGCTCTCAAGGAAGAGTTGCCGTTCGGAGGTGCACACTCGATCAACACAACCGACGTGCACGGCACACCGTTTGTAACGGCAACCGTTCAACTTCTGACTTCAGTAAGCTGGCTGCACCCGAAGAGAACCCAACATACTGGGAGAGCCCAGCTTTAGGCGACCCGTACCACATAAGCAGAATGAATGGGAACGCAGAACCGTTGAAGGTGTAGTCAGTTTTATAGCCCCGGCAACACTCCGCAGCACACTTATAAGCGATTGGCTACCGCCACCCAGCAGGACAACAGACTACCGAAAACCGATCCCCAGAATGCCATAACCACTCAGCAAGACACCGCTAAATGGAACAACACGGCCGAACCTGATGAGGTCAACCACAAAAACTAAGCACATCAGAGGAGCGAACACGACGAAAACCGTGCCGCCACACCTCCAGAGAACTTGCACTAGTGGTTGATAAACGACCGTAACAATGTCACCAGTGGCGATCAACCAGAGAGAACGGAAGCGGTGCTATTATCGATCTTACTCCTCACCCGCCAACTCCATCTCGGTGTGAACCCAACACAGGTTCCACTCGGGGTAGCAAAGAGAAAACCAAGCGAGCTTCATGTATGTTTATTTAGGGCTATCTGAATTTACGCGATACCATGCCTCAAGCACTCCCCCCCCCCATCCCCCAAGTCGTGATCAAAAAGAGCAAAACTAATGTGTTTTATGTATTGATAGTGAGTAAAAGGACATGCTGGAAAATGCACAGAATTGAATTCAAGACCATCCGCCGTACCATTGACTGACCTTCGCATCGTCGTGCATGCCTGGGTTGGACATGCCATAACCAGCATAGGAACCACCTCGTGATGGCATTCTACAAAAGGCACGAGAAAGAAGTGACTCAATTCCATAGACCGAAAATTCAATCAAGCGAACGTGCATCTATCAACTTCTTTACTTGGACTGGCAATTAGTTTGCTCGCAACAGTTACATATTACAATACGATGTGATTCACGCAGATCAAAGAATGTGTATCTACTTACCCAGTACCACCTGACATGTCACCGGCCCCACGTGGTGCATTTCCGTAGGGAGCAGGGGCACCATATCCACCCGATTGCATTGCGTTTCCGCCTGATCCATAACTTTGGCTACCATAACCCGGTTGTGCAGGTTGATCCATTCCACCATACATTGCTCCATTGTCATAACCACCAGCTGCCTCATATGGTGGGACGGCACCTTGGCCTCCATAACTCGGCGGACCGCCGTAGGCGCCACCCGGGTTGCCGGTATTCGGGGCGTTCACGCCGCGCTGGCCGCCAGGTGGGGGAACAGGGCTAGGTCCAGGAGGGCCACCCATCATCGGACGGGGACCTCCAGGCATCGTCCCAGATCGAGGACCGCGACCACCGGGGCCAACACCACGGCCGCCAGGGACGGGAGGTCTAGCTCCACCCATTGGAGGTACTGCTCCCCCAGGCATTGGGCCCATTCCACCGCCCATTGGCCCCATACCACCGGGCATTGGGCCCATCCCGCAGCCCATATCACCCGCCATCATATACGGACCACCCATGCCGTAACCCATCGACGGCATGCCACCGGGTCCGGGAAGAGGCAACCCTTGGGATATTGCTTGTACAGCTTCGCGCGACAGCCAACCACCGTAATTTAATGCATCTGCTTCACTGAAGTTCGCCGCGTCATAGTCCTCTCGACGACCACGGGGTGGTGCGGACTAAAAACAAGGACGTGGTAAGCAGATTGAATATACACCGGAAGTCCTATGCAGTGCATTTTTGAACTACTCGCCACTCTTTTAAACTCATTTTGCCTCACATACGTGAATCCTGTTTGCGCCAAAAAGCGGCACGAGAATTATCAGTAAATCGTGTATCACATACAACCACAACAAGTCATGGAGCGGTCTTGTTGTTTATGAAGACTTTTTGGCACAGTCTGGCCCTAGACGAGTGAGATATAATACAAGACAAACACAACCACACAGTATACTTCACATATCACTATCACAACCTACGTTTTCGAACCCGTTTCTGGACAAACTTGAACATCTTAATAACTCGGAGAAAACTGTTGGGCGTGGTGGCACGACAAGCTCAACACGTCAGGTCATGGAATGAGACGGTTAAATACTTGGTCATTTCTGAATAACCATATCTAGCAATAGGCCAGCGAGTTAAGCTGAACTACCACGCATTCTCACTAGGTAAGCACCGAAACTGCAAATCAAGGAACCAAACCTGCATCTAAAAAAGGTTTACACACTCAAACTAAAACAAACCGCAACCTACGCTTGTTAATCAACGGACTAACCGTTTTGCTTACCTCGACAGCCTCAACGACCGATTTCAGGCAGCTTATCGCATTATCCGGCTCGGCAACCATTTGCACAACACGATCATTTGACAGTGGTGCCAGCATCTGATAGACTTTGATGACTCGCATTTTGTACTTCTAAAAGAGATTATGACCATAAGCAATCAACGGATTTACATACATCTCGTAACTCCTTGATTCGTTCTCCGCCACGGCCAATTACGGATCCAGCTTGACTCTCGTGCACCAGGATTCGGTAATCCAGCATACTGTCATCTTCCTCCTCTTCAGGTTCATCACCAGGTTGACCCTGACCCTGCGGGCGACCGCGACGTCGACCCATGTGACCCATTATTCGTTTGGGATCCGACAATCTGGCGTTCATTATATCCTAGAAATGTTGGTATGTGACAACCTGGAACGTACCTTTAACTTCGGAGACACCTCACGCATCACGTTGCAGATGGCATTGAGATCACCCTCAATAGTCATGATCCTGGTCAGTCAAAAAAAGATAAATCGCTGGATGTGAAGGGATTGTGGAAAACTAGAGCACAGTGAAATACAAGTCCTGGGAGCCCAGGTAAACCGTCCGTTAGACAACGTGAACAGATCACGTATTGCCAGTTTGTGGATTGGGCTTTCTAAGCCTCGAGTACGTGCTAATGTGAACAACCCTTGAAAGTGGGTCGCTTGGTACAGCTGCGACCAGCAGATGGACTAAACCGTCAGTATTGCATACTACCGAGTGGCCTTCGTCCATGAGTCAATTTTGTTTCCAGTACTAAACTAAGCATGCTGGTCATTAAAAATCTCAAGCGTAAGTGATATACAAGGGAATTGACAATAATCATCGACCAATTCAAGCACATCAGTGAAATTTACACCAAAATATATCTCATGATCTGATCCTACCGTTCAGGG